ACCCACACCTTTCGATTGAATCATGCATCATAACGGAAATTTCAATTTAGAACAGGTGTGCAGCACTTTGCAAAATGAATAGTTGGGTGTGGGTGTGGGGTTTAAAAGAAGACAACACCCACATCCTGTCAAGTTCTCTATAAGACCAAATCATTTTTCTAGTTCAAGGTTATCATGCAAAATCAAGATCTAGTTCTTGGTCTATAATAGCCAATTAAGATATTTATTGCCTTTACTTGTCTTTTTGTAGTGGAGAAAAACTTGACTTTTCATCGCTATGTCATTATCATTTTATGGATGGTTTATGACAACCAGTTTCAATGAAGAAATGGTTACCGATCACAAAATAGGTCACTATATATCGACCTTTGTCAGAAATTGGTTATAAGATATGGCTAAAAAATGCACTATTTGCGAGCTCTTGAATACGTAAATATGGTGTTCAAATGTGACTTACATTGAAAACTACTGTCCATTTTTTAGACGGATTTCTGTAGAAAGTAGGTTATATCCTTACCATTAGTTCTAAGAATCATTTGAGATAAAATACAACAAACTCAATCAAGATGAAAATTTATTTTAGAAAGATTTTTTGCAAATTTAACATAAAAAAAACAATAGGATTAGTTTATTGTATTTCACGATTGCCTGTTAAAAAATCATCCACTTTGTGACCTTTTAATTGTGGTCTAGTTTCATACGTTGTAATGACTACTTCAGATTTTACTTCCTATACATGAAAAAAATCATACAGAATCATATTGAAATATAACATTTACTTACACCAAGATATTCACCACGAAGACCAATATAATAAATACGAGTTGTTTCATCACCGAAATTCGAAGGAAAATATAAAGATAAATGTGTTACACGTGAAAAATGTGATGGACTAAAATAGATATTTGATTAAAAATTTTTTCAAAAAATCAAGATATTTACTTGACTTGATAAGCTAATGCACCGGATGGATCATATGTAAGTGAAATTTCTTGATGAGCTTTTCCATGTGCATTATCAAAACGTAATTCAGGTAAATTACTCCATCTATTCATATATATATATATATAAATCATAACTCCTACTTTATTGAAATAATTTATCCACATACAATTTAACTGTATTCGGATGTGATGGACCATTTTCACCAATAATACATAGGCCAATTATTTTTACAGCACCATTAAATGGTATACTGAAAAGTAATTCTTGTTCATCATCACTTTCAACTACCTTTCAAAAATAACCTATCTATAATATTTTATTTAATTAAATCAAATACAAAATATACTTTTGATCGGTCAAGTCGTTCTTCCCATGCTCGAAATACATCTTTACCTGAACCATCATGTTTTTCATTATAACATTGTAAATTATATTTATCAATTTTTGTATATAAATTCCATTGACCAACATTTGTTTCATCAACATGTTGACATGTATGTGAACATGAATGTTGCATTATTTATCTGAATAGAATAAAGAAAAATAATTTCTTTCTTTTTATGTTATTTTTTATGGAACAATTTATTTTATATCATCAAGAAAAGAAATTACATAATACACAAATGAACAAAACAACAACAACAACATTGTTTTATGTACGTCCTTTATGTTTTTTTTGATGAAGTAACATACTACTTTCATCTCGTCGTCGTTTAGTCATTGGGTTTCTTGGATCATAAACAGTTAATAATTCAGCATTTGTATAAATATCTTGAACATTATCTAATAATTCTTGAGATACAAAAGTATGTTTTAAAAATGGTGTTTCAACTTTATCAGCTATTTGTTCTGATTGTGTTTCATTTAAAGGTTCATTAATTTGTTCATCTTTAGCAGTATGAACTTTTACACGAAATCTTTCTAATAAATCAAGTGTCTAAAAATTAAATTCAAATGTTTTATTCAGTACAAAAAAAAAATTGATGAACAAACTTGAGATTCTCTTGAATTTGAATGACTACTATGATGTTTTTTATTGTTTCGTCTTGTACCTGCCATTAATTCATCCATTAATGTAGTAGTACTTGAGATAACTGGTTGAATAGATGCAGGTGCAGCTAAATTTGAAATAAATTCATAAAATATGATTGTCAGTTAAAAATAGGATGAATATCCTCATGTATCCTTGAAATATGAAATAGATCTTGGTAAGACCGAAAAAAAGTTCAATACTTTCGAATGGATTTATCCGTTCAAACTGGAATTCGTAGGATATACTAAATATCATTAAACAATACTTACGTTCTGTTTCTTCTTGGACGACATTTTCTGATGATTTGGTTGTGGATGCTGATGATGACTTTTTTGTTTGTTTTAATTCTTTTTTTAATCGTTCAATTTCAAGTTTAACATTATCATTTCTATGAAAACAAAACTAAATCAATCAAAATATTTTTGTTGTATTTTATATTTACGATTTTGTTGTTGAAATATCTTTTTGATTATTATCATCATCATCATCAATATCAAGTTGAAGTGATTTTTTCTTTTCTTGTTGAGCTAATTTTTTTGCATTAAATTTTTGTCGTACTCGATCAAGTTCTTCTTTATCAAAATCTGCATCACTTTTTTCTTTTATTTTAAAATTTTGTTTTTCTATAGGTAATTCTTCATCACTTTCTTCATTATTTTCATTTAATACAACTGTATTTTTACTTAATGTTGAATCATTAGTTAAATCATGTGCACTTTTTCCTGTTCCTTTTTGTTTGAATGTCTATAAAAATATTAAATTAAGAAAGGAAAAAATAAATGAAATATATCTATACCATTGAAATTTTTGTTATTTCTTCTTCATCTTCTTCAGCTTCATTTCCAAATGAAAGAAGACCATAATTTCTAATTATAAAAAAAAAACAAAGAATTTCAAATTCTTGTTTTAACTTCATAGAAAAATTCTACTTGATTGCTTTAGCTTGTACAGTTTCTTTCGATTTTTTATTTATTTCATCATTATCATCATCAATCATTTGTGATTTAGCTCGAGGTCGAGATATCATATTATCAAATGGATTTGATATAATCTATATACATATTAAATATAATCTTTTAAAACTATAAATTTTTCTCTCATTTTTTTTACTTCTGCTTTAATTATTTTATGTTTATGTACTGGTATTTCACCAATAATTTCTCCTTCACCTAATTTCAACATATTAAATAATGTATTACCAACAACTTTGCCAAATAATGTATTCTTTTTATCAAGTTCTGGAGTACTGCCCAAAGTAAAAAAGAATTGACTAGCATTAGTATTTGGTCCTTGATTAACCATACCAACAAGACCACGACGATTAAAACGTAAACGTGTATGAAATTCATCCTAAAGTGTTTTCGTTTTTTTTATATAGAAACAAAATAAAATTTAATTTAATTTTGTGATTTACTGCAAAGAATTCACCAGTTGCTGATTCACCTCCTTCACCTGTTCCAGTTGGATCACCACCTTGTGCAATAAAATTTGGTACAACTCGATGAAAAACTGTACCATCATAATAACCATCCATACATAATTGAACAAAATTTCGACATGCTAATGGACATTCTTTAGAGAAAAGTTCCTAAAAAAAAAAAAATAAAAATCATATTAATATTTCACATTCATTTATATAGGGCACTACAAAAGTGTTTTTTTTTTTATTCGTCCGACTTTCCTAAATATTATGCATTGAAATCAATTGTTGAACTTCTAAACTTTCTCAAATATCTTGTTCCGATTAGTTACATAGGTGAACATGTTAGGATTGAGATTGGATATTTCATAATAAGTTCAATGTTCTAGTTATTAAAAATACAAAATAAGAAGACTGAAGGGATTCGGTGTACAAAATCCTATGAAATTATATGTTGATCGAACATCTAGAACTAAGACTTGATGAAAAAAAAAACTTTTGTAGTGCCATTTTTAAAAGAAACACAAAATTCCGTACAATTTCAATATCACCAACAGTTGTATCTAAAACAACTTTGCCACGAGTAGCTGGCTCTTGAATGTAAATATTACTCATCTAAAACATCATAAATAAGTAGATGTAAATATTGACTAAATGCGTTTATAGATAGAAAGAGATTCTCTTTTTTTTGTTTTTTAAATTTGACTTCTACAGATATATTAAATTAATATTATGTATGAGATTCTATTGAAATCCATTTGGATTATTCGATTGCCAACGCCATAAATCTTCGCCTATAAAAGAAAAATATAATTTTAAATCTATACTTAAAAATAAAAACTTATTTACACATTTCATCTAAATTTCGTTGAGCTGTCCATCCAAGTTCTTGAGCTGCTAATGTTGAATCAGCATAAACAGTTGCAAGATCACCTGGACGTCGAGAACATTCTTTATAAGATATTGTTTTGCCTGATACTTTTTCTAATGCTTTAATCATTTCTAATACAGAATAACCTTTACCAGTACCAAGATTATAAATCTAAATAAGAAAGAATAAAAAAAAAAAAAAAATTTAAATCATTATCTATTACTAACTTTTAAACCACAATTCATTTCAAATTGTTTCATTGCTGCAATATGACCTATAGCTACATCAACAACATGTATATAATCTCGAACACCTATACAAATTCAATAGTTTTTTTAATGATAAGAAGATAAATTATATTTATTTGCTTATATTTACCTGTACCATCTGGAGTATCATAATCAGTACCAAAAATATTAACATATGGTAAACGACCAACAGCTACTTGTGCAATATATGGCATAAGATTATTTGGTTTACCAATAGGATCTTCACCAATTAAACCTGTTTTATGAGCACCAACAGGATTAAAATAACGTAAAATAATGATATTCCATTCCTAAATAAATTAACAAGAATAAAAAAAGATTATTTGAATTTTAAAATACGAACAGGATGAGCAACTATTGTATCTTTAAGAATATGTTCACATATATATTTACTTTTACCATATGGATTAGTAATAGTATCACCAATACATGGATGTTTTTCATCAAGTGGTAAATATTTCGGTGTACCATAGACAGTAGCTGATGATGAAAAAAGAAAATTTTTAACATTAAATTCTTCCATACACTAAATTATATTCAAATAAATATATTTTTATTTAATAATTACAAAAACAATTACTGTAAGTAAATTAAGTAAACAACCAATATTATTTTTATAATATAAAATTGGTTTTTGTACTGATTCACCAACTGATTTAAGTGCAGCACAATTAATTATTGCATAAATTAAATATTTTTTAAATATATTTCGTAAATTTTCAATATCAAGACAATCAATTTTATAATTAATTATTTGACATCCAGTAATTTGTTCAACACGTTTTAAACATTCTAAAAAAAAAGAATTTTTTTTCTAAATAGAATCAAATTTTCTTTTTTAGAATGTTTTTTTAATTTCACCTGCTGATGAATTATGTTCATTATCTACTACAATTGGTATATAACCAGCTGTAATCAATTCAATAACACAATGACTACCAATAAAACCAGCACCACCAGGTACAAGCACGTATTGTTTCTTTTGATCACCTTTATAGAAGCAAATATTTTATAGGTTCTTCTTTGAATTTATCATTGGAGTTATTGAAAAGTAATTTAACAACATTATTTAAGAGTTATGAAATGGTCTTGTCGACATCTGCAAATTGGTTCTCAAACTTTTTATTCTGATATAATTTTGTAAGGAACAATCTCGCCTTCTGTTCTATACAAAAAACTTGCTAATATAACATATCTCATAACTCTTAAACCAAAAGTCGAGTTCTCGGTTAGGGGAAGATCTGTTGCGACAAAAGGATTGATTCATTACTTCTTTGTAGATACAAAGTTTTTCAATAATTTACTATTTATAAATTCATTTACCAGTTGCTGCTGTCATTCTTTAACTTGTCAATTTATCAGAATAATCTAAAACCAATTATGCAGATAACTATTTGATTATTGCAAATAATTCTTTATTTTATGTGCGAAGTATATGAATAGTTATTGAATTGCTTTATTTTTTTTTTTTTTAAAGCTTAAGAAACATAAGAACAAAAAAAGGAATGCGGTGAACTCCGTTTATAAGCATAAGTAAAAAGAAAAATGCACAGACAAATGAAATATTTAAGATCGTGATATTGTTAAAGATTTTTATCTTTTTTTTTTTAAGCATGCACGTTACAAATTAACCTAGATAAATACGATAAACACCAACAACAATATGAATATCACTGGGGCTTTCTTATTTCCCACCCAACAAATCAAACACAAAAACAAAAACAAAAAATTCTACTTGATGTAGCAGCCGTTCTCACCTATTCAAAAGAAAAATGAAACCATGGATCCTCTCTTTTATAAAGAACCATATAAACGCAAAGAATTTGGAATGTCTATAAGAAAAAAAAAAAAGCCTCAAATGAAAGCGCAGAGGAAAAAAAAATGTGTTAAAATATTAATAGTCAAAAAACAATTACACTACGAAAAACAAAAACAAACAGAAAACATTTTTTATTAAACATTTGCAGTAGGCGTTCCAGAATCACGTCGAGGTTGATTAAGAACATTAAAATTAACATTAAATACAATCAAACAACCTGTAGAAAGACCTGCCATGATATATCTAAATTAAATAAAGAAATATATATTTTTCTGCATACATAAAAATTTATATAAAATATGAAAGTGAGAAAAAAAAAATAAAAGAACTCTGTAATTAATTCTTATATAATAATCATTTTTTTTTACTTTTGATCATGAGTTATTGCTAATGAACGAATACTAGCATCACATTGTGGATAAGCATAAACAGGTTGTAAATCATGTGTTCGAATGATTTGTACAAAACCTCGATCACCACCAATAACTGTATATTGACTATCAGCATTTAAAACCATACACTAGACAAAAATAAAAAAAATAATTATTTTTGTCTTTTTTTTTTTGTTTTGCTTTTACTTGAATAGTTTCATCTTCAAATA